CATATTCACATAGGTGCGGAGTGCTGCCAAACCCCTTGACAGTCACTACAAAAAATAAAACAAGTAAGGTTTCGTTGCCTAAATGTTTTGCCCAACGGAAAACAAGTTTGTCGGCAAGGGACATTTTCGCATATTCAATTCCGTTGACAATTTTTGCAGCTGCAAAATTAATTTCAACAATTCAATCGTTAATGTAGTTGGTATACTCCAAGATGGAATATTGCAAAAATCACCCAAATGAAGTCTTTGGCCTTCGACGGTTAGAAACACGTCATAGATTAACAGTTATTTTAGCTCTGATGTTGATGAGTTGATAATTATTATTTTTTTTTTTTACAAATGCACTCATCGGCCCTACAAGAATACAATGACGAACTAGTTTTCCTTTGGGTAAAAGGTAATACGCACCAAATTTTTTCCTTGGCATGAAATATTTGCCCGATGAAGTTTCTTTTCCCATTGAATATTTTCATCACCTAAAGTCTCAGAATAAGAAAACCAAAACGTTGATCACTTTTGCCCGACTCAATTTTTTATTCCGTCGAGTAAAGTTACTTTGCCAAATGAAATACAAATTTTGGTTCGTTGGGCAAAATTTCGACAGGCAAGTGATAATTTCTAGTAGTAAATCACTATTGTTTCGAAACAATACTGTTTCTGAAATTTAAACATTGGAAATATAAATAATAATGCATAGATCCATCATAACCATTCACCACCGTCAATTTCCCAAACAATTAGTTGCAGGAATTTTTGTGGTACGCCTTATACTTTAGGTTTTAACTATTGGAGATTTTAGTTTTGTAAATAGCTAACGATGAAAAAATGGGATATTCTTGACGAATCATAGAATTTTCGTTAGTTGCTTACCATTCTTGAGCCTTTTCATACCACATTTTAGTGTCACACGTGTTAACGTTGGGCACTTTTAGGCACACAAAATGGTGCAGATTGGGAAATGGAGCCATGAAAAGCCCAAAGTAAATTCAAAGCCTAAAGAAGATCAAGAAGCTCAAGGTCTAAGGGGTTTAGAATGAGATACTCCGGAGCACTAAAGTCAACCACCTACTAGCTCAATCCGACTAGGTTATATAAAGTATTTTCCTATTGCCAAAGGCATGTGGGCAACCTGACAACTTTATATCGCAAGGTTTCAGGGCCAGGTTTACTTAGACGTTTATCACGCCACATGGCGGTTCGCGACCAAAAGTGAAGGTCTGGGATGGGATATAAAGGTGGTTTAGGTTACTACTCAGAGGGGCAAGGTTAGATAACTGATAGGATTTTTACTACTCATGTGAACGAGCTTAAATATCCTATTTTACTTGCAAGAATCTCAAGGTTATTGTAGTATAAACGGATCTCGCAAGGTCGTCTCCACAAGAATTATTAAATAATTCGAACTAATCAGATTCCATTTAATTATTGTAAAGTAGAAATTGAAGTGATTGATTTTATAACCTAATTAAAATAAAAACGAAATTAATGAATTAAAATAAACAATCTGCAATATTAGAGCTAGAGAGAAAATAAAACAGTTTTGTGAGAATAAAATTAAGAAAGCACTAGGGATCCACCATCACCTAACAATCCTATGAATTTTTACCAATTACTTATAATCTACACATGCCACTTTGAAGGTTAGATTTTCCTAATTCATATTCTACTTGGAACCTCCAACATAGAACGTATATCTAACATGCAACCCGTCCGGACGTTCGGATCAAATCTGAACATGAAAGACTCATTATGCTTTATGAAAATCCTTTGAAAAACCATGCAATCCTTAAGACGTGATATTCATCCTAAGTGAAATTACAATTATTAATCACAAGAAGCCAGCGTCAATTTCAGGGAACCTTTCGACCAAAATTGCATCAGATTACTTTTCTAAAGATCCTAATGGTGATCAGGCATTAAGACAATTAGATAGTTTTTATCCCGGTGATTAACAATTCAAAGTATGCATGCAATCAATCATAAGCAATTAAATAAAAATCACATATTCATGCTAAGGCTCAAGGCTTCGCCTTAGCAAAAGAAATTAGTTCCGCATATTCATAATTGAAATCATAGAAAATATTATTAAGAAAATGATTGAAAACACCTTCAAGTAGAAAATCTCCAAAACCCTAGCAATTCTCTCTGTCTCCAAAATTGCATAAAAGAAAGCGTAGTCTAAAAACTGTAGACGGCTAAGCAATATATTTTCCAAGCCACCCCACAAACCCTAGGAAACATAACCCTAAATTAAATAATAAAATTCGTCTAAAATCTGAACAGCCACGTTTTGACCCATAAGCTGCTCCAAAACTGGCCCAATATAGCTGGATTTAATGTTTGGAATATTCTGAACACTTTTCTAGAAGGCCACGAATCCATCCGAGGTCATCTTGGGCTCCAAAAACGCAATTTAAGCCCAAAAACGTCATTTTCCAGCACTACACACTGCTTCTTTATTTCATCGCCAGAAAATAACCGCTTGGTGGAAAAATCCCAAATTTTGATACGATCAACCTAAGTGACTCACAAACGTCCTCCAACTGGAATTACTCCAAAATTCGTCCATTTGATCCTGTTTTGCTCCAGAGGAAGTCGAAAGTCCTATATTGAAAATACAATTCAAAGTATCAAAATTCTTCCAATATATTAACCAAAATATACTAAGATTAGGGTAAAATATATAATATAAAATATACTCATCAAATACCCCCAAACTTAGCTTTTTGCTTGTCCTCAAGCGAAACAAGACTCAAACAAAAATAAAAACTTAACAAACTAGACAACTAGCTAAAATTAACTGACAAAAACTTTCACCTTTACAGTTGCAATCCATAGAACATGTTAAACATCAGAACATCTTTCCAAAAGTTCCAACCAATCCCACCACAAAGTCTAAACCATTTAGAATCAATTAGAAAAGAATTCACAAACTTTCTTTGGTGTAAAGTGAACCAACATAGTTAAGGAGACTCGACTAAAACCCTTACCTCTCGTCCTTATTTATTTCACACATAGTAACTTTAAATATAACTCTCTTTCTTCTTTTTTTTTTCTTTTTCAATTTTTTTTTTCATATATAACATTTTTTTTTTTCAATAACAGTAGTGGTCGTGCAATGTCGGTTTACTTAAGCTTTCGATCCAACCCATGTAGCGAGCTTTAGGTCAATGACTCCCAAACAATTAGGGCTTTAGGTAGGGATGGGCAATGGTTATGCGGGCGGGTAACCGCGGTTAATTTACCCATAACCGTTTATGCTCATACCCGCATAACCGTTTACCCGTTGGGTAATTGCCTAAACGGTTATACCCATACCCATAACCGTTTATAAACGGTTAACCATACCCATAACCGTATACCCATTTAACCGTAACCGTTTAATACCCGTTTACCCATTTATCATTTTTAACCCGTTTATCTTCTTCTTTTTTACCATTACCCTTTTTTCACCCGTCTACATGTTTTTTAACAACTTGAAATTAAAAAAAAATTGTCATAATTTTTTTTTAACAATTAAACACCGTTATAGGTACATTCATCATACATTTCCATATTTTAATTTTTTTAAGTCCTTATACCATTCCAATAATTGAAATAATAGTTTACGAACGATATTTTTAATTGTTATCAATAAAGGTAAATATAATATTTGTTAAGTATTATTGGGTTACAAAAATTGTTTAGAAGGCATTTCTGTCAATTTCACGGTTACCCGCAATGAATTTAAATAAATTTGGCCAATTCCTTGATGATGAGAATCATCATTCCTGTAGTAGTGTTATTGAGAGAATGACCGATGAATTCCTTGCTAATTTATTGGGTGCTAAGTATTATTGGATCGAGAACATGGTTTGTGTTAGTTTTACATATATAAAATAAATGGGTAAACGGTTACCCGTTTATAACCGTGGTTAATACTCATAACCGCCCATTTAAATTTCGCGGGTAAACAGTTATACCCATAACCGTTTATTTATCTAAACGGTTACCCATAACCGTAACCGTTTAATTTAAATGGGCGAGTAACCGCGATTACCCATAACCAATGGGTATTTGCCCATCCCTAGCTTTAGGGCACTAGGTGTAGAACACCCCTAAGGACTTATTAACTCGAGCTGAAAATGCTACGAAACCAACTAACCACCCTGCCCCATGCCAAAACTCTACCGTTTGACGCGAGAATCACTGCTGATTAGGCAGGACTGGCCCGATTACTAAGCAAAACCTCGGGTAAGACAATTATTACTTTATTCACAATAATAACTGACTTTACTTAAAACAAAAATTAAAAAATAACTTAGACTAAAAGCAAGTGTTTCAATCTCACTCTCCACAAACCATGTTAGTGTGATGTGCAAAGTTCAAAGTATAATTCATGAATTAGTGTCTAAGCAACGATAAATAGAAAAGACTCTAATGTGGGATTAACCTTCACCATGTCCATTTGTTTTAACGTTTAAAATAATCTATGGATATTAACTTAAAAAGAATGAAAATTCTTAACTGACATAAAAAAATTAAAAACCTAAAATTTTACTTTCCCACCCCCAAACTTATTGCAGACTTTGTCCTCAAGGTGTGGAAACAAAAAGAAAACTAAAAGTAAAACACAAAAACTCTAGTGGACACTTTAAAAAAAAAAGACAACACTATAAGAAGAAATAAAAAATAATAAAAATAATAATAATAAATAAAATAAAATAAAATAACAAACAAAACAAAAATCAAAGAGAAAAGAACACCTGGCTTGTATTTGAGCCCAACTCGCAAACAAAAGTCCAATAGGAACATTGGATTCCTTTGTTTGAAAAGCATGCAGCGGGCATGTGCATTGGAAAGTGGAAGCCTGCTAGTTCCCATGTCTGGCTTTTTATTTGGAAGGTCATGGAGCCGTGACCACCTACACAAGTTGCCGAGTAGACCCATGAGAAAGTGGCATGCAGCTGGCATGCCGATTCTGAAAAGGCGTCAGGCATCAGTCTTCTGTCTCTGTCAGTCATCAAACACATAGCCCAAACGGCTCTCTCTAGATATTCTGAAAATACTTTTACACTCTCCATTTCACAGCAAGTCCTTCTTCCTCCCATATATATTTTTTTCATTTCTTTCGGACCCCATTTCTCTACTCTCTCTCCTTCATTACTCCCAAAAAACACAAGAACCTTCTATATCTTTAGACAAACCGAATAGACTCTCTCGGATCTCTTCCCATTTTCAAAACTCTCAAGCTCAGCCATCCATTCAAACCTCCAGTTCACAACAGCTCCTGCAACCGCTGTAAGTGATGCATCCGTAGCCTTCCATAACCCAGCAACAACACACCGCCGTGTCTCGGAAATCCAGCACCTCGAGCAGCAAGACCAACAACCTGCTCAGATGAAACCGCATATCGCATCCTGCTCTAGTCTGACACACTCACAGGTAGTTTTTATCTCCATCTCCCATCGATTTTTGTCTCAAGTGCTTAGATTAGGGAAAAATGAATGAAAATTGCCCAATGCATGTGTGTTTCCATGGAAAAATCGAGACTCACAGATCCTCATTGAAAAGGTATGCTTCTATATCCTTGTAACTATGTTTGATAAGAATCTGTGAATAAAAATTTGTATATGGTCTCAGTGCCTCAGTATGTTGAATTGGCTTGTTCGTCATGCATGAAGAGATCTATAAATTCATCATGTCTTATTCTCTGTGCCACTTAGATCCCTCAACTTTGTTTCTTCACTCCGCACTGCCTAATCTCATGAATGTAGAGGAATTGATGATGAATTGATGATGAATGTGCTGGGGGAATAATTGTTGATTGCACCCCCTTAGTTGGGATTAGGCCGAATCAGTTCCGAATGCAACCTGCAATAAAAAAAACCTAATTAGATAAGTAAAGAAAAATAACAAGAATTAAAAACAATTTTTTTTTTCAATTTTCTGATTTTTTTTTTTTTTTTGTGATTTTTGTAATTAGGAATAAAAACAGGAAAATAAAATAAACGAAATAAAAAGAAAAGAGTTAGAAAAAATTGGGTTGCCTCCCAATTAGCGCTTTAGTTAATGTCTATAGCTAGACGTAGAGGGAAGAATTGAAGATCACGTCACTTGTTCCCTTCGAGTTAACCACTTCTTGATAGCATCATACGGCAACAGTAGGTATGGAATGAGTTGTTGTTTATCAGTGGTTGAATTCTTCATAAGTGCACTTCTATGCAAATGAATATTTGTGATCAAATAAGGTTGTTTCCAGTGAGGTTTATGTTTCCATTGAGCTGCCTTGAACCTTGTATTTAACACCCACAACCTCTGCACTAGCAGAATTTCTCTATGAGGAATTTGGCTATCACGGAATTGATCCTGATTTTCTTTAAATTTGATGAATTGCGACGTTTGCGTGTCCAATTCAGCAACCAAAATTTTCTGATCAGTAGCCTGTTGCTCCGAATCCAAAATGGTCAGAGTAGTCAAAAGCTGATCATGTGATGTCTGATGTACTGATTTTGAATGAACAGCTTCTAACATATCAATTCTTGTGCATTCGTGCAGCCCTGTTGGGAAGGGTTCTGGTGGCACATAAACTTGGGGAGAAAAAGATTGTGGGGAAATTGTTTCACGATCAGCAGGTGGTGTTTCCTCCTTTGGGCATGACTGGGTGGCAGATTGCTCTACAATTCCTGCACCAATCTCCTCTTGATCATTAAAGCTCTTCCCATAATTTAATGCTTGAATCAGAAATCCGTCATTGGTTATTTCAATGTATAAGTCAGTTAATTCCAACAATTTAGAGAGCTTGTCCTCCACTGGAAGCTCTTGTGGCACATTAAGCTGCTCAAAATATTGCCCAAGATGCTCTTTCAAACTTTGAGTGTAGAACTCTGAATGGGGATTGTTCCAGTTCCATTTTGAATCGTTTCTCATATTTATACACTCCTGGACATAATCTGGAAAATATTCTCTCTCAGGACATTGCAAAATATCATGAGTATTTGAATTACAAAGAGCACAAACTATAGGCTTAAATCCATAATAACCCTTTTCTGCTAATGACACCCAAAGAGGTGGTCCACCGGGTGTTAGATTGAATTCAGGGGGGAACTGCAAATTCCATTGTTGCACTGCTAAAAAAGAAACGAATTGTAACCTACCAAACAAAATCAGCAATTAAATAAAAAGATATATACAAAAATAATTAACTAAGAGTTGTTGTAATCTAGGAAAAATAAAACAAAAGCGAAAATTAATTTTTTTTTTCTTATATGTATAAACAGCAATAACTAATTGAAAATCTGATTAGTAGGAATTATTTTAAATAATCCCCGGCAACGGCGCCATTTTCTTGATAGGATTTTTACTACTCATGTGAATGGGCTTAAATATCCTATTTTACTTGCAAGAATCTCAAGGTTATTGTAGTATAAACGGATCTCGCAAGGTCGTCTCCACAGGGATTATTAAATAATTCGAACTAATCAGATTCCATTTAATTATTGTAAAGTAGAAATTGAAGTGATTGATTTTATAACCTAATTAAAATAAAACGAAATTAATGAATTAAAATAAACAATCTGCAATATTAGAGCTAGAGAGAAAATAAAACAGTTTTGTGAGAATAAAATTAAGAAAGCACTAGGGATCCACCATCACCTAACAATCCTATGAATTTTTACCAATTACTTATAATCTACACATGCCACTTTGAAGGTTAGATTTTCCTAATTCATATTCTACTTGGAACCTCCAACATAGAACGTATATCTAACATGCAACCCGTCCGGACGTTCGGATCAAATCTGAACATGAAAGACTCATTATGCTTTATGAAAATCCTTTGAAAAATCATGCAATCCTTAAGACGTGATATTCATCCTAAGTGAAATTATAATTATTAATCACAAGAAGCCAGCGTCAATTTCAAGGAACCTTCCAACCAAAATTGCATCAGATTACTTTTCTAAAGATCCTAATGGTAATCAGGCATTAAGACAATTAGATAGTTTTTATCCCGGTGATTAACAATTCAAAGTATGCATGCAATCAATCATAAGCAATTAAATAAAAATCACATATTCATGCTAAGGCTCAAGGCTTCGCCCTAGCAAAAGAAATTAGTTCCACATATTCATAATTGAAATCATAGAAAATATTATTAAGAAAATGATTGAAAACACCTTCAAGTAGAAAATCTCCAAAACCCTAGCAATTCTCTCTGTCTCCAAAATTGCATAAAAGAAAGCGTAGTCTAAAAACTGTAGACGGCTAAGCAATATATTTTCCAAGCCACCCCACAAACCCTAGGAAACATAACCCTAAATTAAATAATAAAATTCGTCTAAAATCTGAACAGCCACGTTTTGACCCATAAGCTGCTCCAAAACTGGCCCAATATAACTGGATCTAATGTTTGGAATATTCTGAATACTTTTCTAGAATGCCATGAACCCATCTGAGGTCATCTTGGGCTCCAAAACGCAATTTAAGCCCAAAAACGTCATTTTCCAGCACTGCGCACTACTTCTTTATTTCATCGCCAGAAAATAACCGCTTGGTGGAAAAATCCCATATTTTGATACGATCAAGCTAAGTGACTCACGAACGTCCTCTAACTGGAATTACTCCAAAATTCATCCATTTGATCCTGTTTTGCTCCAGAGGAAGTCGAAAGTCCTATATTGAAAATATAATTCAAAGTATCAAAATTCTTCCAATATATTAACCAAAATATACTAAGATTAGGGTAAAATATATAATATAAAATATACTCATCAATAACCAAGGTCATGTAAGTCGCTCGGCACGTATCACTCTAATAAGGTGTGCAACATCGACTAAACACATGTCACTTCACTGCTGAATATCCAGCTAATGGATGAAAAGGTGTCAACAAGCCAGTCTACATAGGTGGCGCATTAAAGGCCAGGAAAGTAAAGGTAGGTAAACCTAAGGCTCCTGGGTTCATTGAAGTTTCTATATAAGGGGGTAGTAACCTCTAGTAAACAGTCAAACGACTGAGAGAATAAAGAGTTCATGTATTTAGCCGAGCGTTATTTGTAGTTCTAAAATCAATACCACCCGAGCATTACCGTGGATGTAGCTTAGTTTTGAGCGGCGAACCACTTAAATCTATAAGTCCATTTCATTTTAGTCACATTCCCAAGCCTACCAAGGGTTTATTGTTTTAATTTGTTAATCTACAAGTTTTAAGTGTTAACAACACAAAATTAAGCCACTTAAACCATCTCCTACCCTTGGGTTAAAACCTAAAACTTTTAATCTAGAAAATTTAGGTTTGAACCCAAAAACAGTTTTTCTATTCCAACACTTTTGGGTTAAATTTTTAGCCCAAGATTATAAAGAATGAATTTAGAATAATTTTTTTTTCTCAAAATAACTTTAAAAACAAAACAATTATGTAGACGATCCTAATTTAATTTTATGAAAATTTTAACCTAAAAATATCTAGATTTCGATAAATATTGAAAAATCACTACACCGACACCATGAAACTCATGGAACACTATGAAAGAATATGAAACACTTGGAAGATTTTTTTTAATTATTTTAGTCGTTGAATTTAAATTTGAACCATTGGATTAGATCATATTAGATTTTAGCCGTTGGATTCAATGAATTTATAAATATAAAGCTGAAAATAAATACACATGTATGGTGTGTCAGCCCACTACATATATGGTGTGTCAGCCCACTAACTCAAGGGGAATTATGGCCTAAATTTTCCTTAAAAATGAGTTTTGGGTTAAAACTCATATTTGGCTCAAGAGTTGGAGCAAGTTGGGATATGTTTAAAACCTAAAATTTGAGTTTTATTCCAAAAGGTTGGAGTGGGTCTTAGTATTACGGTTTAGTGGTTTCCTTTTTCACTTATAAGTGAGAGGTCTTAGGTTCGATTCTCATCAAATGAGAATTTGAACCATATTATTGCTAGTCTATTGTGAAGTTCAGACTTAGGTCACATCCCGCCTGCATAACATTGTTTGTTAAAAAAAAAAAACACTATATTAATGATTTATCAATTGAATGTTGTTTGAATGGGCACTCATAAATGAACGATGTTTTTCCCCGTATTTAATATTCTTGTGAAAAATGTTAACCTCTCTTTGCGAATTTAACAAAATGACTACAGTTTGACAAAAAAAAAATGCTAGGAAGACAATCACGTTAATCAATACTTAAATAATAATCCAATTATCAATATCTGCATTATTTGATTTACAAAATTTAATTTAAAAGTTTGGTCTCCCAAAACATTACCAAAAGAAAATATCACATATCATATCATGGTCAGAGACGGGGCTAATTTGGGTCTTTCGCTTGCTTCAAATAATCCATTAGTTCTTGTCCAAAAACAGTAATCTAGTAGTCATGTGATAATCATTTATTTATGGCTTATTATATTAACAACTCTGTTGAATAAATTTTACATACTTAATATACCTCATATTTGTTTTTTCAATTAAACATTATCTTAATACACCCCACATACTTCCCCTAATACCCTCACACCTCACATTATCAACATACACATACATTTTTTTTACATAAACCCCGCATTTTCTACACACACCACATTCTCCATATCTTGTAATACTCATTTTTAATTATTGTAAATTAAATTGACTTAGAAGTAAAACCCTAACATTCTGCATGGTTGATGTGGAGAGAGAAAATAAACACTTGATAGGCACCAATTGAATGGAATGAGTTATATTACTGTAATTCACCATTGAAAACAATAAGTGCATAACGATATATGTCTCTGGCTATCAATTACTAAAATGATCGAAGAATCGAAATACGGTTAGAAGTTAAACTTGACATCACAAAAAAATATAATGCATATAAACTTTTACAGAAGTTCATAAGAGAGATGTATTTGGGTAATAATTTTGTCACTAGTATTTTGTGAAAACGCAATGCTCAAAATTTATTTAAAATTGTTGAAATTGGGAAGTTTGGTTTCCTGCATTATTGGGTAGTATAGAAAACTAAAACACTTTGCGTGTATTAAAAGGGAAGTGTTATTGACATTCCAAAAATTTCATTATACACTCCCTATAAGCGTATTTTTTTTTCTAAATATAGAAAATTAAAAGTATAAAATAAGAAATTTGAAGTATCAATAATAATTCCCTATTAGAAAACCAAGTAGGTATTTGGGGAATCGCAAGCGGGGTTATGAGAACCCACAAATATACACAAGTACGTTACAAAGGCTTAAATAACACAGGCTTATTGCTGAAATAATGCAGCTATTTTAGAAAGAAAAATTAGGCTTAAATAATTGCTGATGTTTGAATCACTAAAACTTTACTTCATGTGAAGTTCGAAACATCAGTTTCTTGTTTCTATTCTTTAAAAATAATTTTTCTCAATCAAAATAGTTGTAGTTTGACTGGTTAGTGTTTTGTTCAACAATAAAATATGAGAAGAGTTTTGAGAATTGAAGAAACACGTTAAAAATAATTTTGAGTGTATTCAGAAATTTCTTAATTTTTTCCAAAACCTAATAAGGAAGAAATTATCATTACATAGTAGAGTAAATATATAATTTAATATTAAATTTTAGAGAACTTTAACGAAAAGCACCGGTACTGTTCACTTTAACGAAAAACCACATTTTTACACTAAAAAGTCAATCCTGGTACTATTCACTTTACCTTTTATTTTGTCCTTATCGTTAAAACTCAAAGTTTCCAAACCCTTTTCATTAGTTTTCTTAAATTTTAGGGGAGATGCATTCATCGTTACGATGAGGTGCTAATAAAAAATGCTTTTATTACTTATTGATCAACTAAAAGGGCAAAAATAAGAAAGCGCTTTCCGAAGTAGGAACACAGGGGAAGAATGGCGAGCTCGACAGGAGGTAGAAACAGCAGAGGGAATACAGCAAAAGCCTTGGTATCTGATCAGATATCTCAGGCCATACTGTCCACTTCCAACCTCCTCCACCTCATGCAGCAATCATCTCCTTCCCAGGCATACCACTCCTACTCTCTCTTTATTTTCTATTTCTCAGTTTCTCTATCACAATATCTATGCGGCAGAGGATAGTAAGCTTCAGTGGGCAATGGTTTAATTAATTTATGAGTCTCCCTTTTAATTTTATTTTCGAAAATTAAACCAATTTGGCTTACTGGGTTTTGGTTAGATTTTGGGAAGGGTGAATGCATTACATTTACAGAGATTATTGTTACTTTTCTTCTGTACTTGGTTATGCCAGATACTGGTGCTGGTTTGATCGGGAAAAATAAGATTAGTCAAGCAAAAAAGGGGAAATATATTTGTAGAAATAAAATTTTGGAGGAGATTTGTGGCCCAGGTGGTTTACCTCAAAGATTGTACAATTTTGGAGGCAGAAATGTTATGAAAAACTATGTGTAAAAGGGAAAGCGGTCATTGACATGTATCTGGACACAAAAAACTAGAAATGGATACAAAATAATGCCCAAATTATCAGAGATGCCATTCCTCCTGAAGGATTGTGAAACTGATACAAATAGTTGGCCAATCTGTAAAATAGTGAAGTGGTTAGTTAGAATGTGCAGAAAATGCAAGAGTTTCCGGAGTCCTGTTATTAATGATAGATTTTTGTGGAACAGGGCAGGAATGGGGTACATATAGGCAGAGAAAATTATCAGATGCGCCCTTCCTTATGAAGGATTGTGAAACTGATACGAATATTTGATGTATCAATAAAAGAATGAAATGCTTATTTACAATGTGCTTTTCCAGAGTCCGGTTCATTAGGATAGATTTTGGTGAAACAGGACAGGGATGGGTACATAAAAGCAGGTTTTTTGGATGTAATCTGAATTTTCTTGCTTTTGAAGAAGAGTGTTAATGTTTTGTTTTGTGGTGAGGGGTAGGGCCTTAAAAATGAACACATTGGGGTGGAAGATGGGAGTGGAGGTGCACTGTTAATTGATTTGTGCTTTCGGTATGGTTCATATTTCACTGTTTTTGTAATTTTTGAATTATCCTTGGCTATCAACTTATCAACAACAACAATAAAGCCTTTTCCTACTACGTGGGGTCGGCTGTATGAATCCTAGAACGCCGTTGCGCTCGGTTGGCTATCAACTTATCAATGAGATTAATCTCGTGAAAGGTTTCTTCTTCCATGTTTCCAAACATGAAATGTAACTATAACTATACATCATGATGCAATGAGAAGTAGTCATTCTCACCCTTAATTTTCATCTTATCATCTGGATACAGTATACTTTGAACAATACTGGAAAAGGCTTACCACCATGCAGTATGTGGTGATAGCCATGGTACGACTTTGCCTCATTGGCCTGCCGCACATGGTTATATTTCTAATTTCTTATATTCTGCAGGCCCAACTGATAAAGCTTCCAAAGAACCTTTTGGTCAAAACATCTACAATTAAGAATACTGGACAGGTATTTTGATTACCTTCACCAAGATGATGCTGACTATAAAGTCTTAAAAATTCAAAGTAAATTTCATTTTCCTCTCCTTTGTATGCAGTTGTTGGGACAGATGCCTCGAGTGATTTCATCCCTCGATGCACATATGGAAAACGGGTTACAAAGGTTGTGCACTAAAACTCGTGTAGGCTTTATTTTGGAAAACTTTTTATAGCATGCAGTTATATACACCAAACCCTTGCCTGAAGCATCTCCTGTTTCATCAGAAAGAGAAATATATAGCTAACAGTTCTGAATCTTGTGTCATGTCATCAAATGTTTTTGTTGGTATATCTCCTCTTAAGAAATAAGGAAATACCAAACCAAATTTTGGACATGCATCAATGTGACCTTGCAAGATGAATGGTTGTGCGCATCCTGTTTGTCTGTTGAGACTATTTATAATCCACTTGGTCATACGACAATATGACTTCGCAAGATGGTGGGCTATGACGCCAAAATCTTGATAACTGATTTGATAAATGAGCTGCACTTTTTGAATTTTTTTTTCACCCAGTGGCCGCAATTGAAATGATGGAATGCAACATATTGCATTTTATGGATAGTGATTGTATACCAAACCCATAACTTTAACAGTGTTGGTTTGAAGTGTTTCCCATATCTTTCCACTAGTAATAATGTGCATGGCATCTCCATTCTTGCACCCTTTCCCTGATGTGTTTGCAATTTTTGCAGTGTTCCTCATCTGCAAACTGTAATCCAGTTACTTGAAAACATGGAAAGCTGCCAACTTAGTTCTCTATCTCAAGCTCATGTCCTTCAAGAGGTTAAAATCTCCCCTTCTCTCTTTGCGTTAATACCTTTTTCGTTTTGGTTTGAGTGAAGCATAATAAATTTTTTCAAGGTGAGCAAATATTTTCTACCGAAATTTGTTCCATAAAATCCGTCAGTATTTAGTTTAGTCTATTCATTGCATAAGAACTGGATGCCATGTCCTTTTTTCAACTTCCATACTTTTCTCCTCCCAGGAGCATGAGGTGGAAAACGCAAAAGTGGGCTAACGTTCCCAACTGTGTACCAATGTTGCTGTACATTGGCTAACATTGGAAAGAACATTCAGAGTTCTTGTTCAGAATGGTCAGAGTAAATTATATGTGATCTCAATGTACATAAACACACAATAGGATTGTGGCAGTAGATTCAACGTGAAGTAATTTTCTTCCTTTTTATTAACATAAAGTGGAAAGAAACCACTTTGCTTGAACAAATGTGATCTGCTATTCTTGAATCTTTTGAATTTCAATTTTATTCCTGCATAAGATGTACAATAGAGAGGTCGCACTTGGTGCGATGGCAAGTGCCTTCGCCCATGAGCGGTAGGTCTCGGGTTCGAGACTTGGGAGCAACCTCTCCATAAATGGGGGTAAGGCTAGCCGACATTCATCTCTCCCAGACCCTGTGTAAAGCGGGAGCCTTGTGCACTGGGTACGACCTTTATAAGATGTACAATAGATATTAGTTTCATGGTTAGTTGCTCATCCGTCTAGTTAACCCCGTTATAATCCTATATCCGACAAGTCTAGGATGCCAAATATCCGACAAGTCTAGGATGCCAAACTGCTGTGCACCTTTGAAGAAACTGATTTATACTTTCAGGGTCCCTAGCTTGTTCCTATTCCTTTATCCCGGTTTTTGGTGCTTCTGTCCTGTAAGTACTTTGTGAGGCACGTAATGCGCGTTATCATGTCATGTGTAGAAGCATCCCTATGTACCATAACTGGAACCACATTCCCTGTGCCTTTCACTTCTTTCTATCTGATTTAAATGACCAAGATTGGTTTACCAACTTAATCGTAGTAATGGTGCTCCTTACCAGACTAAGAACACTAAGGCGGCAATGGCTGAAAAGACGATCTCTACAATTATAAAGTCAGACTGTCCCTAGTTAAATTCACTAAGGTCCTCCAAAATTATGTTTTACCGAAAATACAATCGCTTTTAACTTCAGTAATTGACTTTGTCAATTTGATGCCTGATGCAATGTTTTAGTTTCTGTTTTGTTTGGAATGCTTGGATTTTGGTTAAAGAATATCAATGAATGTCCTTAGTTTTATAGTTATATTTCTTCATGTCCATCCATACAATAACAACTAAGCCTTATCCCACTAAGAGAAGTCGGCTGTATAAATCTTAGAACGCCACTGCCCTCTGCTTTGGGCCAAATCTTCCTTTAGTTCCAAGTACGTCATATCTTTTCTTAGTCTCTTTTAGTCTTCCTAGGTCTTTCTCTACCCCCTTCGTCTCTCTCCGTCTCCCTCCGACTCATCGTCACATCTTCTAACTAGAACATCTATAAGTCTTCAGTTCACGTGTCCAAACCATCTTAACCGATTTTTTCTCATCTTATAACTTCGCCTGTGTAAGTTTATATTACACTGCCCGTCCCAGAATAAAGGAGGAGAAGGAATGTGTCTGGTAGTCGACATCAAATCCTTATGATATGAATCCTTCATGTCCTACCATGTTCTTCAATAATTGCATTGGTGCATTGATAAGGTTTTAGTGTTAGATTCTGTCTAACCAGTTTATTTACATTAAATGTCTATTTCCATGACTCAATGATGAAAATAGATACAAAAAAGGGGTCAAAATTGCATTGTAGTCGACAACTAGGTATGACTAAGACCTGCAAGCTCAACTTGATTCCGAACAGCTTCGCACTCCCGAGTCCCGTGGTCTCTCCCTTTCCAATGTCGGAACATGTTTCACGTTCGAATCCTCCCTCTCCCGTTGATCCGAAAACAAAGTACTTGCAGAGATTGGAATTTAAGTGCAGAACATATATTCAGAACAAACTCACAACAGTCGTGAGTTTTATTGTACTTGTTAATTGAAATTTTAGTTAAGTGATTATATCCGCTCGTGTTCGTATTCCCCTTTTCACAGCTGAAAAAAATTGTTACTGCTTACTAGTTTGGCTTAAAGCCTTTAAACATATCGTACGTAAAGCATACAAACAGCCCTCACTCATTGACCTGAGATGGAGCCACTGTAGTATCAAAGGATTTCTTCCTGACCAAAAGGCAAGTGATCTTCGAAGTCTGGCCGTGAGAGTTGTCGATCGTGCACAGAACAAGGTCAGGCCGGTGAAGCATGAGATTCAAGTGATCCTTTCCGATTACCAGTGCAGTTGCATCAAGAAGAACATGCCATGAGTTCCGGTGTGCTTCCGAAACCCAATGTAGCGAGTGATGAACCTCGTTTACGTAAGCTGGATAGGAGAACAACCCTTTGAGCTTGTGTTTGCTTTTCTTCCTGAAATACTGGCTTAGTTGTGAACCTTTGATCCTCAAATCTAACCAAGTCTCTGGTGCCAAAATCACTTTGGCTTCCTTGTAACCAGCAAAATCCTTAATGCAGTCTTGTTCGCCGATAATGGTCATGTAGTGGTTTCCGCGATAGAACGGGTAGCTCTCCGCCACCAATACCATGGCGTCCCTGTAGGTTGGGGTGAAGAGAACAAGGTAATCGTCATCGGTCAATCCGCAGTGCTTCAAGACCTTGTTTCGAGCTTGTATCTCGGGGATTGAGATGAAACTTCCTGGGAAGGAGCATTTCGTGGTGAGGATATCAAGCAACCTTGATGGCTCCAACTGAGTCCTGTCCAAGTCGGGAAGGTTGCTTCCGGCGAATTGTGTCCAGGACTCCCTCGGTGACTTCAAGCTACCCCTTGGTGACTTCCTCTTGTCATCGGGCATGGCCTCGGGAGATTCTTCGATGACGCAAATACTGGAGAGATCAAACTGTTCTCCTTCAACAAGGGCAGCATATTGTGGGTACTTTGCCAACACGTATTGTTCGACATATTCCCTTTCTGTTGGTGTAATAGGGCCAGACCATCTGAGCTCTAGACCATCACCATGGAGGGTTGATATGGCCTCAGCTACAATGTGTGCAGGAATCATATTATGTGCTTTCTGTTGCAAGTTTAACCAAACAAATCCAATCAGATACATATTTCTTCGAGACATCTCAAATCAAACATATACGAGAATATACTGTCATTCTAAAGTGCGGTTTACTGCACTTTTAAAGTCAACCATATTGCTCGTATAGAGGCAACTATAAAGTCGATGTATCAACAATATCGACAATATATCCACATCTTAAAACCCTTTAGTTAACCGTACTGTAGAAAAATTCGAAAAGATATATTTTGTGAGAGTTCAAGAGGTCGCACTTGGTGCGATGGCAAGTGCCTTCGCCCATGAGCGGTAGGTCTCGGGTTCGAGACTTGGAAGCAGCCTCTCCATAAATGGGGTTAAGGCTAGCCGACATTCACCTCTCCCAAACCCTGCGTAAAGCGGGAGCCTTGTGCACTGGGTACGACCATATTTTGTGAGAGTTCAAAGTTTGTGTACCTTAATAACCATACTTCTTGGTCTGCCTTCATCTATGTGTGGTTTGTGTATAGAAGCAAAAAGGGATTTCTTGCATTGACCTTCTCCTTCCATTATGGCCTACTTTGTTTTGTTGTCATATTGCCATTGAAATTGTTAAAACTTTAAAATACATACATACTTAACACTTAATTAAGAAGATGATCTTGGATTATCAGGGCTTACCCCAGAGCCGGCATGTGAAACAATTTTACCAGTGTTCCTCACCATGCTATATGAATCAATTTTCACCACTGCTCATTAGACACAGAAGACATCAAAGTTTTGAAATAAGAAGACAACATTAGGAGAACAAAGTTTTGTATGAAAAAACCGAACTTGGCTACAATACATTCATGTACTTAGTACAAACACTGATTAATGATCGAAACACCACAAAATCTCTATTGACAGAAAGATTTAAGAAATGAAAGAATCTACGGCAAGGACAATACAAGAAAGAAGATCAAGGTATTCATTGGGTACCAAGAAACTAGGACAAATTAACCCACTAAGAAATGGACAAGCAGAACTCACTGAAAATTAATTAGATGAAAAATAATGACATGAATCCCTAAACTGTCTCCATTTCAATGGTTCAGATCACCCCAAAAATTCACTTAAAATAGAAAATTAATTTTACCAATGATTTAATTCATACAAGTCCAAGTATGATACCATAATCAAAAACACCAAAACAAATAAAGCATGTTACCCTTAATTTCCAATTCAACAGTGCAAATCTAGATTTGAAAAAGCGTCAAAGCTAGTGTTTTTCAAACTCTTAGTTTCTCGTCCCGCACTCATCTCTTTGTTTTTGTCCCTCATTTTTTCATTCAATCGCAAGAATAAAAACTGGAGATGCACATAAGGAGAAAGAAAGAAGTCCGAGCCGAAAACACACAAAATCCAGATGGCAAAAGTCTTAATTCACACGGTTTTATCAGTTAAATGAACCACTAAAACCCACAAACCCTAAATAGAAAAAAGACTTAATCCACAACAAAAAACACAGATATAGTAAAAAGGTGTTAGTTCATACCTTTATGCTAGGTTGAAAACCCTTCTCTTAAACCTACAGAATTGGAGCAAGTTGAGCTCTACGGGTTTGGGGGATTAGAGAGGTTGAAAGTGAGCTTATACTTTTTAACCACTCTTCTGATGATTCTTCTGACCAAAACACACAACCTGTTGCTCAACATTCTCCGACATTCTCTTGCTCAAAAGGGTACGACCCAAAACTGTATCTACTAATACCAGAAATAACCGAAATACTATCTCTTCAAATATATTCTCTCTCAGTATCTATTGTAATTGTAAACAAATTGTCAAAAGACAGAGAGATATATGCACAGATGCCGTATGGAGATGCCGTGTTTAAGAGATTACAAATGGACAAAGTCAAAACTTAATTAGTCTTAATAATTATTTTATTATGCCAATTGAGATTAAAATAACAAATACACGTATATATGCCTTTCATCTCTGTGTCCGTGGTGCTGCCTGATTGGAAGAATGCAGTGGGAAATTGTATAGAAAAAGATGAGCTGCCGTACACCGACCTATATTTCAGTTTCAGAATGCATTTTTTTAGAGTTTGTTACAATCTGCACATAACGTCTCTGCCTCTAAAGTAACTAGTATAATGAGTTATTAAGAGTTTAAACAATATTTCTATTTATTTAATTATTTCGCAATGGTTGAAGTTTACGATACGAAGCTTCCGTGAAGGTCTTTGTTGAAAGGGACTAGAGACTAGACAGAGCCTTCACTGGTTTGGAGAGAAATTTTCAGCACAGAGGAAGGTGATGGGTCAAATCTTAGTAGTTGGTATGAAAGTTTCAAGAAATTGAAAGATAGAAGTTGATGCCAAACGGTTCACAAAATTAGGGAGAAAAAAATGTTTTTCTCTTTGGATTACTAATCATGTGATCACGTTTGTGTAGTATGATTTGGCAACTTAAACAACAACATGGGGAGTAAACCCTATAGATGTAGTAGCTGGTTATTAAGTTTCCTTCTTACGTATCTAGAACAATAGAAAACGTAGATGTGATCAGTTAGTTCTCCGAATAGCCAAAAGTGAAGTGCAGACCTGACATCATGCCGTGCTTTAACATGTTTGAATCGTGTGAAATAACGAAAATAAAAAATTAGTGTTCACAAAGCACCTAAGCTAAGTAATTCATTGGGAAATACTGCGTGTTGAACACGAGCTATATTATTCATCCGAAAGCATGGATTCCAATAACTTAATCCGCGTTTGGCACCCAATTTCAACACGTTTGATGTAAATAATTTTAACCGTTCAAGTTTAATTAGACAACCTCAACTTAAAAAAGAAAATGACATAGCGGAAGTTACAGATAAAAGAGATTACAAACATCACTCTTAATAAGTTTCTAGAACACTAAAGAATTAAGAAAAGCACTTGAATTTTGATAAATAATATGATAAGATAATTACAATACAACCCTAAAGTTGTTTGTATAGTCTTAAGAAAAACGCTGGATGCAAAAGAAAACAAACCGGAAAATTACAAAACTCCGGACCTTCAAACTTAAAAGCTGTTTTTAACCGTTTAAACGTTGTAAGATACTAAAATCCATGTTGTGCCATGCCGAAGCTACAAGTTGCATCCGTCTATTCAATCTCTTCCCGGAAATGTATCAAGAATCTAAATCGGACACAGAAAACCTATGAACACTATTCACTGCAGCAGCTACTAGACCGAACTCGCAGGTCGAATCAGCTGTTCCAGCCCGTCGTCAGAAAACAGTATAAAGAACTGTATGCAGATCCTTACACCCGTCGTAGTGTAATATAGTAATAAACAAAGATGCATACATCGAATGTATAAACAAAACAAAGTTGTAGGAAGGCGACATTGGATTATTTTTTTTCATATTTTTAAGATGGAAGAGGATCCTCTCCGTATCCATTTTGTGAGGATTCTAGAGATTTCTACATCTAGCCGTTCATCGTAAATCATACGGTTTGTTTTCATCAGAAATTATTTGTGTTTAATTTAAAAAAAAATTAAATGATTTTTGACCTCACGATACACGATAAATAGTTAAGATATGAGGATCCTAAGACCCTCTTCCACCCATGGCTCCATCACCCTAATATTGATTGTACGTAAATGTTGTTGGTAAGATAAACAAAAAGATAATATTTCATGAATAACCATGATTAGGCAACAGCTCGTCGCTCTTATCTTATTAACTAAACAATAGTTTCCTTCAGAATAGCAACACAAGCATACAACAGCTGCTGCTGGTTTGAGTGAGATCCGTACAGACTTAACACAGTTGGCTCTTCTCGTAATTGTCAGTTTAATTACTTTTTATTAGATAAGGTATATAGAAGCATTTTTTTTAAACGATATTATCTACATTAAGAAGTAGAAGAGTAGACAAAGCCTTACAATGGGCTAGTAGTACTGTGGTTCAAATTCGTCTTTGCCGAAAATTAAATGTAAGACCTCTCTTATAAGTGAAAAAGAATATCACTAGACCGTAGTACTAAGGGGCGCATTTTAATATTTAAAGTTTAAATATTAACCAAACTCATGTTAATACTACTCATTCTTTTAAAATTTAGGTTGGAGATTGTAAACACTAAATTTTTCTACGACAAACGAGACAAGAACACGTGTACAAAATAATATTTTGTATTTGATGATTTTGGGTTACAATCTCTCTCAAATTTGATCCTCTGATCTCCGTAAGGTGTGTATTTGTGGATGTGCGATTGATCCAAGGGCCGTCGAGGCTTGATCTTGGATGAACGGTTGAAAGTTTCTTTAAAGGCCGTTAAGGCTTGATCTTGAATGACGGTGATGAACGGATCTTCAAGGGCTTTTGAGGCTTGATCTTGATGAACAGTTGATGGATGGATCTTCAAGGGCTTTTGGGCTTGATCTTGAAGAACTGTTGATGAACGGATCTTCAAGGGCCTTTGGGGCTTGATCTTGATGAACAGTTGATGAATGGATCTTTAAGGGCTTTTGGGCTTTATCTTGAAAAACGGTTGGATGTATGGATTTGTTGATGTTGTTGATCCAAAGGGCCGTTGGGGCTTGATCTTAGGATGAACGAATGATGAACGATGAACGCTTTCTTCAAGGGCCGTCGGGGCTTGATCTTGAATTGGTGGAAGTTCCTTCAAAGGGGTCGTTGGGGCTTGATCTTGAAGGTTGGGTTGACGAAGAACGAAGAGAGCTTTCTTGATCATTCGGGATTTGCTTGGGAGCTTTGGAGTTTCAAAGCTTCAAGGTTTTGGTGTGAGGTGAATGGGTTATCAATTGGTTATCAATTTTTTTTTTCCTAAAATGAATGAAATGGCTTCTATTTATAAAATTTTCCAAGACTAATTTTGAATATAATATGCAGATGAAATAAATCATTTCTGCTAGGTGTTGACATGTGTCATATTTGATGACTTTTCCGATTTATTTTGATTTTCGTTTAGTCACACGCTACGTGTAAAATTTATGTGACACGTGAGCGTTGAAATTGTAACTATTGGTCAACATTTATTTCATCGAAATTTCGATGTCTACAAATGCCCCCACTTCAAGGTGCGTCGTATACATGTGCTTGTCGTGTGTAGGAGATGCGTTTTGAAGTCCCTTAATGTAGATGTCGATCCAAGGGCCATTGAGGCTTAATCTTGAATTGAGCTGGAGATTTCTTCAAGGGCCGTTGAGGCTTGATCTTGAATTGGGCTTGAGATTTCTTCAAGGGCCGTTGAGGCTTGATCTTGAAGGTTGAAATTGGACCACAAGGAGCTTCATGTGGTAGATGATCTTTGGCTTTGGTAGTGGATGAATTGGCACGTATTTGTTTTTGTGCTTGTTGACTTTCCAGAGCTTTGATCTTGAAATGGGTTGGAGGATTTTCTGGATTCCTCCAATTGTTGACTTTCCACAGCTTATTCTTGAACTGGATTTGATTCAAAGGCGGTGGACGTTTGATCTTGAATCGGACTTGTGATTTCCTCAAGGGTCGTCGAGGCTTGATCTTGAATTTAGCTAGAGATTTCTTCAAAGGCCGTTGAGGCTTGATTCTTGAAGGTTGACTCGAACACATGGCAAGCAGGCACGAGGTGAAGGTGACGACTTGTTGCTTTGTCCAATCTTTCTAATTCACACCTGAACAGTTTGGTCAACGGTATGATCTTCAAGATTGATGGGCTCTTCTTCCAGTTGGTGACTTGATTTTTAAGGATTTGATTCAAGGGTGGTGAATCGGCTTGTGCAGCCCACAACGCCTAGCGAGTCGACCCAAGAATTTGAGGGTCAAAACGAGTCCTTCACCCAGAGTGATTGCAACCCTGATGATATGAAATACTTTTGATTTTGAAGAAGTAGCGGATGAATCGACACGTGCTTTGTTGTGCTTGTCTCCACATGCTTCAATGTATCATTTTCTCTTGCCTTATCTGTTCTTCTGGCAGATGTGGTATCTTCTCTGGAAGCATAAGATGTTGAGATAATGGGTACTTCGAGAGCAGTGCTAAGTAAGCAATCAAGGAAGGGTTCCAGGCAGTCGGTTCCAGATCGAAAGATTGATACCAAGTGCTGGCTGATTGCTTTCTTTCTCCTTGTCCCGCAGGTAAGAACAAGGACAAAGAAAATGACAGGGAGAAAGCATGATATAAAATACTCTTGCTTTCGAAGAAGTGGTGGTGATTTGACAGTGTTGCACAACGAGGCTTTACTCTTTGGCGATGGTGTCGTCAATATATTGTTGAAGCTTCTCGAGCTCTTGGATTCAACTCAGACCCCTTCTTCTCTCTAATTTTTTTTTTCAACTTAGACTCATTCTGCTGAGTCGATTGTGCATGCCGCATTTCCTTATTTGTTCTCCAGGCAGATGTGGTAACTTCTTGAGTTTCTTAACTCAGACTCCTTCTGCTGAGTTGACTGTGCAGGTTGCATTCTTCTCTGCTTGTTTCTTCTGCATGTTGTCTCCATATGCTGCAAGGTATCATTTTCACTTGCCTTATCTGTTCTCCAGGCAAATGT